TGGTAAACATCATAAATATTCCAAAATCTAGCACAGGTGTTGGGCCTAAAAGGTGATTATGATAAGAAGAAATTGCCAAAAAGAGTAAACAGATAATATTTTCATACAATGCAACAGCTTGCCAAAAGTAATAGTTTGGACTTCTGTCCTTACATGAAGATACACATATTCAATTATTTTGTTTTAGGTAAGCTAATTTCTTTCATTTAGAGCCAAGGAGGAATAGGAATGCCATGATGTCTCCCTCATTCATCTTTTAGTCTGTTGAATAATTTGTGGGAATTAAGAAATAGCACCAAGCCCTTATGCCTGGTATACCTATCTCAGGGGCACAGATGAAGTCTCACACTTATTTGAACTGTTTATAAGAAAATTATATCTATCAGCAAGAGCCTGAGGTTCCAACCAGTTGGCTGGAATGCACCCTGCCAACTGCAATGATAGCTCAGTGTTTCTGGACGATGATTTGCCCTATCATATAGGGCAGAGGCTTGAAGGCATGAGAAAAGGTTGCTGCAACACCTTTCTGGGCGTTCTGCTCCTCTAAAAATGAAATTAGTTAGTGTTGTGATGCCCTTGGTGTTTTCGTGGAAGTGGCTGTATAAAACTGGCAGCCAATGTGAATATTAAAGCTTACAGTGCACACTTAACGAAAGACTTCTGAAGACTGAGTGTGTATGCGTGTAAGGGGATAATGTAGTCCCCTTCTGTCTTCCTCACTCTTTATTCAACTTCTAGCATACAGAATTTTCTATATTTTAAACTCCAATGGATTTGAAGGAAATAGACTTGGAACCAGAACTCAGATCTACAACTGATTTTAAGATCTTCTCTGACATTCTATTTACTTCATTTCTCCTGTCTGGAGAAATGCTATTACAGCATCTAGTTACAGAATGTTGTGGTTAAGTGTTATACAAACCTAGAATAAAAAATATTCACTCCAAGCCCAAAGATCCTTCTGTATTTCCAGAAAATACTTTCACAAAAGTACTTTGTTAATTAATTTACAAAGTATTTTTTTCAAAAAAAGTTTTGAGAAGAGTAGACCGATTAAACCCAACATAACATTGACTGACAGGAGCCACAAATCAGGTTTCCTTTCCCTTAAGTTATAAGGACCTAGTGGCAAATGCCTCTTTTTCCCACACTAGCTATATGATAAAAATCAAAAGGCAATATTCTGAAATTCTGAAATTTTAGAACAGTTTTCAAAACCTTGACTTTGAAATCAGATTAAAGTTATGAATGCAGCAAAACAATCCTACCCAGAGTGCTCACTGGGTGTTATCTTCTAAACGCAATAAAATAGCTCATCTCCCTTTTCTGTTACAATGATTTCACGAAGTACCTGACATTTACAGCTAGCATTGCACTAGTGAGGGATTTTCACTCTGTTCTCTTCCTCAAATGGAAGTTTCCCATGAAATGATAAGGAACAGTTCAGAACTGTGACAGAAACATTAATAACTCTGCACTGCCCAATTTTAAATGTGTTTAAATATAGAGCATTTCAGTATATAAAGCAGGAATATAAGTGCTAGCATCTCAGAAACTTTTAGTATGCACTGCTGAACATACAAACATACGTTTCAAAACCACATGGACATGAAAATTTGCAATTCAGAACTTAAACCAGTTCAATAAAAAGAATAAAATAAAAAATTTCTTTCTGTTTAGTGGCAAAATACCCTGATGCTGCTATTTTACGAAGGAAAATAATGACCGTTTTTTACAAAGGAAGCAGCTCTTCTCTGTAGTTTAGAACTGATTAGTAAATGGATATGCAGGAAGCTCTTTATGGAATTAGACAAATATGAGTCTGTGCACTTCAATCTATTTTATACATGTTCTGCAAGACCTCAACAACTAGAGCTAATGCTCCCTCAGCTCCATTGAACTAATTAAGCTAGGTCATTATATTAATAATGGGTTGCCCTTCTGTCTGCATTTATGGCACTTAGCAAGTCAGTGCAAGAGTGAACGCTTATCTCACAAAGGAGAGAGCTCCTGAATTAGATTAATCCATCAAGATAATTAATGTGACTTGATTACTGAAAAATCTGGCATACACAAACAGGTATCTGCAGTTGTAGGATGCAAGTAACAACACTCCAAAATACTGAGCAAGGCCCTGAGCCTGTACTATTGAATAAAGAGGTGGCTGAAACCAAGACATGGTGACAGGCTGCTGATGTGGTACATGCAAAGGGTGCCACAGGATCTGAATATTGCTATCAATGCTTGGGTTAACTCAGCTGAGTTGATATTTTGCCACAAGTTCTAATGCTACTTGTCATGTAAAAATACCTCATTGAATTAGTTTCAGTTCTCTTCTTTAAGGGGCATGGAAGAGCAGAGATACTTGACAACTAATTAAGAAAAACTCTGCAGTCACCGCCCCAAAAATATTAAATCGACTGTACTTTGGGCATGGCTTTGACAGCTTTCTTGTTTTGCCAATTCTTTCAGCAGGCACTTTACCTCCTTCAGTTCACTTGCTGATAAAGCGCCATAGACAAAGTTCCTAATGGCTTGGAACATTAGTCCCTTAAGCTGGTGACAATTGTCTGAGAGCAGAATGCAATAATTCTTCTGTATCATAAATACTAAAATATAATGAAAAGTTGATAGATGGGATAAGGGAAAAGGTTTCAAAATTGCTGAAGTGGAAATTTATAAAGAACAAAGGTTTTCTTCTTGGCAGAGAGAAATACACATGAGTTTCTATGTAGTATGATTTACTATGAAACAAATTTAAAAAAAAATCCTAAGTTTTTTAAGTGATCTTAATGCTGCCTCCTAAAAGTTGATGGGCAGTTTCAGGATTTCTGTTACCAAGAATGCAGGTTTAGAGATTTATCAATTAATCATTGCCTGCACCAAAGAGGAGAAACCCTTGGCTCATAGTCTCATACCTACAGACCCACTATATTCAATTTGTTTTTCTCATAAATAGTGAGAAAGGCATGAAGTGATTCAAGTCCCACAGAAGTGTTCTTCAGCCTCTCCATGTCCCCTCTGCACTCCGAATCATAGGCTGAGGATCCAAAGATTAGGACTGGTGAACCGCCAAGGACCTTTGTAGGCACTGGAGTAAGAAACAAATTGTCCGAATGGTTTGTTAAACAAACAAACAAAACTGTCTATTCAATTAAGCTGTTTGTTTAAAACAAGATATATCGAAATAATTTAAGACTTTATGGGTCCAAATTTGTACAGGTATTTGTCTGCAGTGAAACCCTCACATACAGTTGAGGGTACTGAAGTGCTCTTAGGCCTCAAAGGCCTGATTCATGGCACTATTCTATGTGTTTCCTAACAATACATGGCAATATAGGTAGCTCGACATAGCCATAAAATAGCTATTTGGATGCATAATAGCAAATACATAGTAAAACCAGAAAATTTTGAATTAAATTTAACAGCATGGGAATCACCGGGTGCAGCTCGCAAAGGAGGTATTAAGCTCAGGTATAACTACTAGTGTGACTAATGATATATACAGAACAAGGAGCTATTTCAATGAACAGTAGAACAAGAGGAAGAAAAAAATATCAAATTAAAACGATGCCCTGTGCAGGCTATCTTAAAACACTTTTGACTGTTATTTCAAAATCAAATTTCCACAAATAAAGAGAAAAATGTCATTCATTGCAGCACTTTTTGTAAAGTTGGAAGGTTAAAAGAAAATAATTTTGTAACCGAGCATAAAATAGGCATTTGAAAAATGGTTTAGCTGGGAAAAAACACAATTTTTTCCACATTAAGATAACTTAAGAACACCCAAATTGATTTTTATTAGACTTTTCATAATCACTTCTGAGCTGACACATGCATGAGACATTCAGCCCCAAAGGTCACTTCTGAGAAGGCTATAAGTAACTGGAAACAGCACTGCAGGATGAAATGATGTCTCATTGCTGACTATTACTGCTGGAGAGTGATGAATATTTTACTCCTGAGGCTAAGAGACAGATCCTGTAAATAAATTTTCATTTCTTGGCAGTGCTGATAGCTGAAATGTGATGTGATAGAGCTGGTTTTCCCAATCTTAGTTTTTTATTTAAAGAGAGGGCGAGATGGATGCTGGTAAGGTCTGTGGGCCTGTGTTGGAGGGAGCTCACCATACGCTCTTCTCCATGGCCAGCAGCGGGTGGCACACGGCGAGCCGTGGCTCCTCACATGGTGAGTGGCCATGGCCACGACAGTGCCCTCCTCCTCCTCCTCCTCCTCCTCCACGCTGCCCCTGCCTGGGCTGCTCAACACTCTTCTAAAACCTCGGCTCAAATGCCCGATGCAAATGTTGCTGGTCAGCCTGGCTGTGAACACTTCATTCACCTTCGCCAGCATTTGGTCTCCCCACACTTTATTATCTCCTCCTCCTCTTCATTTTGGTGCCAACACTGGTCACTAAGGTTGTTTAGCCTAAAGAAGAGGAGGTCAGGGGAGACTTTGTCACTGTCTACAACTCCCTGAAAGGAGGTTGTAGCCAGGTGGGAGTTGGCCTCTTCTCCCAGGCAATTAGTGAAAGGACAAGAGGACATAGCCCCAAAGCTGTGCCAGAGGAGGTTCAGATTGGACATTAGAAGGAATTCGTTCACAAAAAAGGGTGATTAGATACTGGAATGGACTGCCCAGGAAGGTGGTGGAGTCACTGTCCCTGGAGGTGCTTAAGGATTGACTGGACATGGATGGCACTTAGTGCCATGGTTTAATTGACATGGTGGTGTTCGGTCATGGGTTGGACTCGAGGTCTCTTCCAACCTGACAGATTCTGATTCTGTGAAAACAAAACACAAGAGGAGACCTCTAGTGAACTGCAGCTTTTCACCAGAGCCGGTCGGCCGGCTCTGCTAGCCATACAGGGCAGCGACGCGAGCAGCAGCCGGCCGCTTCTGCCTCCCCACAGTAGGGACCCAACTCCTTCCCCGTTTTTTGTTTCCACCGGCCCCGCCTCCTCACGGAGCCGTCACGGCCCTGGCGCAGGCGCGGCTCGGCGATGTCGGCGGCCGTGGAGCGGCGCCTGGCTGAGTTTCGCGCCGCCCGCGGTAGCGCTGCGGCCGCTCCGCGCCCCGTGGACCTGCCGGGAGTGTCCGCGGCTCCGGAGCCCGCCGAGGGACCGCGGGCCGCAGTGGGCCCGGGCGGCGGCGCCGCTCAGGTGAGCGCCGAAGCGGGCGGGTCGGGGGTGCGGCGGCCGGTCGGTGCCTGACGCCGCGTCTCGCTGCCGCCTCCGCAGGTCCGTCCCGCCCCGGCGCCGGCGGCTCCGGTGTGGGCGCGCCCGCTGCTGCTGAAGGTGCTTCTCTGGGCCGTGCTGCTGGCGCTGTTCGCGGAGCTGGAGCTGGGGCTGCCCTACTTCGTCCTCTCCTTGCTCTACTGGATGTACGCCGGCACCCGCGGCCCCGCCGAGCGGCGGCCCGGCGAGCTCAGCGCCTACTCCGTGTTCAACCCCGGGTGCGCCGCCATCGCCGGCACGCTGACGGCCGAGCAGCTGGAGCGGGAGCTGCACTACCGGCCCGCCGCGGGCAGGTAGCGGCGGCCCGGCAGGGACAGCTGCTGTGCTGGGCCGGCCCCGCCGCCGCCGCACCAAGGACCCGAGGAAGGGCCGACGGGGGAGGAGACGGGGGTTGTTTCTATGCAAAACGCCTTCTTGAGCCTTACTGCTGGCCCCGAGTCCCCCGGCGCCGTCCGGTCCCGAATAAAGCCGTAGCAAAGCCCGCGCTCTGGTCTGGTTTCCTGGGGGCCGGGCAGCTGTTGCGGCCGCTGTCGGGCGGCCCCGAGAGGCACGGCCTTGTCACAGCTGCGGCTGCCAGCGTGTCAGCTGGTGCATTTCAGCTCCATAGGAGTTTTGCCGCGGCTTTGACTACACCTTCACTAGAATGGTCCAACTGCTGCTCTTCCCATACTGGCTGGAAGCCTCTTTCTGAAGAAAAGACATGAAGAAGTGCTATCCATGTATCTAAGACTGCTGTTTCAGTCTGCACTCGTGTCTTTGATCTAACACAAACATCTGATTATTATGCGAAGTCCCTGTTTGCTTCATATTGGTTCTCATAATTTGTAACATAAGCAAAAAAAAAGACTTATGCCTGGCAGGTGTACTTGTATGATCCACCACTATTTTTAATATACAGATCATTGCATTAAACCAGATCTGCCTAGCAAAGTGGTAGAGTCACCATCCGTGGAAGTGTTCAGAGAACAGGTGGATGTGGCACTTGAGAACATGTTTTAGTGATGATTGTTGTGGTGGTGCTAGGTAGACAGACTTGATCTTAAAGGTCTTTTCCAACCTTAACGATTCTGTGATTCAATGAAATCATTAAGTCATAGTGAAGAGCAGCTGCTAGGACTTGTGCCTCTAAGGACAAAGTTGAGAAGAAAACTCACAAATTGGTCCTTCAAATCCTGCTTTGTTATGCCTTGTCTAATTTAACAGTTAAACACTGTTCAGGCTTGACTTACCACAAGTTTTATCATTGGTTGTGGAAACAAAAGGAAGTGGTGTTTTGAATGTAACTGGACTGGAAAGAGATTAATAGATTAAAGCATACATAATATGTTAACTCTGCTAAGCATCACTCAGTAGTTAAACATCTCTCAGTAGCTCTCCACAGCACTCACAGCTTCTTAGGCTTTTGTGTAATTTCCAAATGCCGTTATTTAAAGCCAACCACAGAATTTTGTGATTTGCTCATAATCAACCATCCTCTGGTAAAAATCCCCTCAGAGTTCTCACTATTATTACACATTCCTCTTGACTGTACAAATCACAGAAGCACAGAGTATGCTGAGTTGGAAGGGACCCACAAGGATCATCAAGTCCAACTCCTGGCCCTGCACAGGACCATCCCCAAGAGTCACACCATGTCTCTGAAAGTATCATCCAAACACTTGAACTCTTGTCACGCTTGATGCTGTGACCACTTCCTTGGGGAGCCTGTTCCACTGCCTAACCACCCTCTGGGTGAAAAACCTCTTTCTTCTATCCAACCTAAACCTCCCCTGACACAACTTCAGGCCATTCCCTTAGGTCTTGTCACTGGTCACCACAGAAGAGATCAGTGCCTGCCCCTCCTCTTCTCCTCATGAGGAAGTTGTAGATTGCGATGGTCTCCCCTCAGTCTCTTCTCCAGGCTGAACAGACCAAGTGACCTCAGCCACTCCTCATGCGGCTTCCCCTCAAGGCCCTTCACCATCTTCACTGCCTTCCTTTGGACGCTAATAGCTTAATATCTTTCTTATATTGTGGTGCCCAAAACCGCACACAATATTCAAGGTGAGGCTGCCCCAGTGCAGAGCAGAGTGGGACAATCCCCTCCCTTGACTGGCTGGCAATGCTTTGCCTGATGCCCCCCAGGACATGTTTGGCCCTCCTGGCTGCCAGGGCACTGCTGACTCATATTCAACTTGCCATGAACCAGGACCCCCAGGTTCCTTTCCATGGCACTGCTTTCCAGCATCTCATTCCCCAGTCTGTCTGTACATCGGAGGTTGCCCCATCCCAGGTGCAGAATCTGGTACTTCCCTTGTTAAACTTCATATGGTTGGTGATTGCCCAGTCCTCTAATTTGTCAAGGCCTCTCTGCAGGGCCTCCTTGCCTTCAAGTGAGTCAACAGCTCCTCCAGTTTTGTGACATCTGCAAAATTGCTTAATGTCCCTTCCAGTCCTGCGTCCAAGTCATTTATGAAGAGGCTGAAGAGAACAGGGCCTAAGATGGAGCCCTGCAGAACCCCACTAGTGATGCTGCATTTTGGTTTTGATTAACATAGGCTCTGCAGGTTCAAAGGCGTCTTTGTATAGATACAGAGTAGCAAATATAAATATTTGTTTCCTCAGAAGAACCATGAACTGTGAACCTTTCCATTCTTAAAAACTATTCTAATTAAAGGTCAAGAAGTAGTCAGATGATACTCAAAACACCTGTAAACAATGGAATTTTGTGAGTTGAAACTTTATTCACAATAATAAAAATAAACATCAGCACAGTGTTTATGGGGAATTGATAATCTGACATCCTGTACAGTTCGATTCTGTGGGTGTTTTTTAAAACAAGGAAATACATGCAAATAAATATTAAATATAAGGTAAGATTCGGGAAATTATAAAACTTCATAGCAGCAATGCTGGAAATAAAGTTTTCACTTGCTATAAATTCTAGTTGCATTATGTCCAGATGGATTTATAGACTCTTGTATTTAATGCTTCATGAAACAAGTTACCACAATAAGTGAGCATGAAGCTGGAAGGCACAAGAAATAAAAACTGACACAGTTCATCTGTTCCAGTGCTTTGTGTTGGTTTGCCTATTTCATGCTACCCAAATAAATGTACATTACACATTTTGAAATAGATACGACATGAATAACAAAGGCTTGTAAAAGGTTTTACTGAAGTGGATAAAGAATGATGGAGAAATTGGCATTGAGGCCTTGCACTGTCTCTAAATACATGAATACTGTAATTCTGCTTTGGTGGTAATAACTTTCACTGAGTTATTCTTAGAGGGGATTTAAAAAAGTTTGAAGAAGTGAGAGCTTAATCAGAGAGGGAAAAAAATTCCTCCACAACCCTCTGCTTGGCTAAGACCTCACTTTGTTACCTTATTTTTCTCTTGTATTCTAACAAGGCAAAAGTTACCAAGGTAAGTTTGACATTTGGTGCTGGAGCTATTCTTGTGGGCCCAAAGCCCTCACTTCTCAAATGACTAGGAGGGACAAGAAGAGCCTACTAACTCAAAAGCATGTCAAGCTGCTGAAAGAACCTTGTGACAGCAACTAAGTACAGGTTTGTTACCACACATGGAAATGCTCTCTATTCCTATGACTTTCCTCTTTCATTTGTTACATACACATTTTTTCCCAGCACAGTAGTGAGTTAAAACACTTCTGTAACTTCCTGTTGTCATAGCAAAATTATCATCTTGCTAACAGCTGCGCAAGCAGCAGAAACTTTTTTTCCCAGGTTTGCGCACAACTAAGCAGGGCCCTGGAAAACTAGTATCCACTCTTGAATATTAATGAGTGAAATTATTCCCTCCAGAGTGCATTATTCTACAGCTGCAAATTTCATCTGTCATCATGCTGCCTTTTCACCTGCCAGTGACTATTGTTTTTTTCATATTCAAAGCACATCAGAGTACATGGTAGATAGAAACATCAAGCATACTCTCTACATATAGGAAGCTAATTAATTATATTTTAGGACAGCAGTTAACATCTGCATGTGGTAGTCAAGTATTGTATTGACGGTCACACAACACAGAAGCTAGTTATTAAATTTACAGAAGAACCTGAGATGCTTCATTCCAAAGTTAGCTCTGCAATTGATGTTAGGGAAGGAAGGCCTGGGAATGGCCCACATAGAAGCCAGCATGCTAAACATATATAAGCCAGCCTGAGAACTGTGGTGGATTTCTACAAACATGTCTGACTTTCTCCCTGGAGCTCAATTACAGGTATTATAGCAGAAGAAGGTAACACATCCTCTCTTAATTCAATTCTAACCTGGTGATTGCAAAACTAATCCATGCTGTTGGCAATTCGGATTCTAATACAATGATTAAGTAATACCATGCAAAGCAATCTAGCTTCAGGCAGGAAAGATGCTGAATTACATCCCAGAATATCCAGTCCATTTTCTTGGTAATGGGGGCTGTGAGTGCAAGTGCAAAGAGACTTGAAAATTGGAGGGTAGTAGTGGTGGTGGTGTGTTATTTCTGCTAAGTATTTCTTAACTGCTATGCCATGGAAGTTACTTACTAAAAAGTCTCTGAACAGGGAGATTCTCAGGACTAGTCTTTGGCATTTGGCCTCTTTGTTGTAAAGGGAGCCCGAGTAACAGCTGAGTAAAGATATGTAAAACTTGTTATTGAGTGATGCAATGGATTACGTCCTGCTTGTAAAGGTACCTCTTTCCCCAGCAACTCTTGTAAACATCTGGGAGGGGAACACTATGCAGTGCAAATGCAGTCACTGCACGAGCCCTCACTGTTTTAAACTCACGAAAGCTCGTGGAGTTCAGGATAGTGGGTTTTGGGATTTTTTGTTTGGAATCTCACTCATGGGAAGCAAGCAGATTCTGGAGAAGGATGGCAGCCCACCCTGGCGGGAGCTCTCCTTGGTTCTGAACCTGTGCCCTGTGCAAGGGCTGCCTTCCTGTCCCCAAGTGCAGGTACCTCGTATCTGAAGAAATGGACCAAGGCTGAAGGAGAAACAAAAGTGAGCCCACAATGCCAACTAGTGAATCTTTTCAATGCTATAAGATGTGCTAAGACCAGCAGTGGCCACTAGCTGACTTCTGTGTGCTTGCACCCACATGAAGCAGAGTAAAGCTTAGACAGAAAACATCCTCTTGAAGCAGAAGTCATTATCCCATCCCTGTGTGCCCTCCAGAGAAGCAGAGTACCAATTATAATGGAAGGGCTGTGCATTTAGGGGACGCTTCCATCCAAGTCAACAGAGATAATGTGTACCTAATTCTGTAATTCTAGCAGATGAGGCCCCTAACAGATACTGAGTTTGGTTCTTTTTTTTTTTTCTTTTGCAAGTGAAGCTTAAAAAGAGCATTCAGAAGTGTTCAAGTGTTCACCAAACTACTTGCTGTAAATTGATAAACCTTCAGGTTCCTGTCCTTCACCTACACAGAAAAAAGGTTAGCGTATTTTCAACTTTAACTTTGGGAAACTCCTACTACAAAACTGGTTCTTCCCTAAAACATGAGTTGTGTCCCACTAAATTATTTTTTTTCTATAAATGGTGACCTTACCCTGTCCCCATAAAAGTCTAAATGTATTTTTTGGCAATAATCATATTCTGTATCCTTGTAATTTAATCAGTCAATCACTCAGCTCGCCCACTCAACAGTAATAAGCCATTGACCCTGTGGTTTCAGACTGGATCAATGCTATGCTTAAGTTTTGGACACCTGGAGGCCTTGTGTGCAAATAGGAGGAAACTCTTTTAACTTACTTTAGACGTGATCAATTTTTCCTCTGATGTGTTGATTACATTAGCAGATTGCTTTCGCTAGAAACCTTTGTCCAACAGCCTGCAGGCAATGAGCAGCATATGCTTAAGTTTCTTGCTGGAGATGGCATACTTAAGCCACTTGCTTGGGTATTTAAGGGTTTTCAGGTATATCATACAGTTCATTGTTCTCAGTCTGATTCACCTGCAGAAATCTCAGCTGAATGTGGCCTGACAAGTGGCAGCATAGACACTACTGCCTACCGTGCCTCCGCTACTGATGCTGTTGGCTGGACATTTCAGAGGTTTCATACTGCTGTCTCTCTGGACATACAAATGTTCTAACCTCCAGCGCTCCCAGCTTTTCCGAAACTCCATCTGAACCTAACAGAAGCAAAGAAGAAAACAAAAG